ATGCAGTAAACATAATAGAATCGCTTTGACTTCTTTTAGAGTCTCTGATCTTTGCACAATAAGCTTTAAGAAGTCATATGAATATTTGCATGGCTATAAAGGTAGATAAGTGGGTTTCCCAGGTGGCTCAGTGGAAGAATCGCCTGCTAATACAGGAGACGGGGGTTCAATCCCTGGGTCAGGAAGATCCCCTGGAGAAGGAAATGGCAATGCACTCCAGTATTCTTGCCTGGAGAATCCCGTGAACAGAGGAGCCTGGTGGGCTACGGTCCATGGAGTTGCAGAGTCAGACACAACTGAGGACACACACACTGTGTTGACTTAAGTCACAGAGTCATATCCGATAATCAAGTTAAGAAGAATGGACTTAAAGTTGCCATATAATTTAAAATTAAGAATGATGTTTATGAATACAACAAAAGCTCTAATAAATTTTCAAGTTCCAACTCCCACTTGTAGGCTAGATACAAAACTATACCGTGGCACTCAGTTTTCTGTGTGACACAGTGCTTCTCAGAGTCTCAAATCTCCCATATAAAATGAAGACACTAATCTCTAAAACACATGAAGCTCTAAAATTATCTGATTCAATGAGAACAAAAATGTGCAGAGACTTAGAAATTTAACCTGTAGAGAACTTTTATGTGAGCACTTCTAAATACATTTTCCTATTACTGTGTCCAACACATTCCTATTAAATTGAATACAGAAAAATTCATAAATTCATTTAAACCGTCAATGGAGCTAGCTTATAAGATTTGATTACTGAAATAAACTCACTCCTCGATTTCTTAACTGAGATTTTAACACGTTGGATTTGAAAAGTGTGTGTGTGCGCAGTTGCTCAGTCGTGTCCAACTCTTCGCAACCCCATGGGCTGTAGCTGCCAAGCTTCTCTGTCCATGGCATTTTCCAGGCAAGAATACTGGAGTGGCTTGCCATTTCCTATTTCAGGGGATCTTCAGAACCCAGGGATCAAACCCACATCTCCTGCATCGGCAGGCAGATTATTTATCACTGCACCACCAGTTACCCATTGAGAAGTAGGACACCTATTACCAGTTCATTACTATCTCTATGTATACATGCTAAGGTTTAAATTTTTATTTTTATCATTTATTTTCAAATTAATGCTATACTATCTAGTGTTACACTGTTTACTGTGTGGGGTCTCTGTTGCTGCGCGGGCCTCCCCTCCTGCTGAGGACCGGGTCCCCTCTCGAGCTGCGGTGGGTGGGCCTCCCTTCCCGCTGAGGACGGGGGCACCTCTCTAGCTGCGGTGGGTGGGCCTCCCTTCCCGCTGAGGACGGGGTCCCCTCTCTAGCTGCGGTGGGTGGGCCTCCCCTCCCACTGAGGACGGGGTCCCCTCTCTCACTGCGGCAGGTGGGCCTCTCGCTGCGGCGGTGTCTCTTGCCCGAGAGCACAAGCTGAGGAGCTGGCACGCGTGGGCTGACCTGCTCCACAGCATGTGGGGTCTTCCCGAACCAGGGTCGAGCCTGTGCCCTGCACTAGAAGGCAGATTCTTTACAGGAGGCTGCGCATCTTCTGAATGTATACATTTTTACACCTTTCCAGGCACTTACCAATGTTTTAGCTAAAAAACAGCAAATTCCCAAATAATCTCACCACTTTCACTGCCGATAAGAAAGTATTAAACTATTGGTTAAACTACCAACTAGGTAAGATCCTTTGAGAATTCCTGACCAACTGCTGACAATTAAGCAAGGCCCAAGTATCTGTCTGTTATTTACTTTCATTCAGGGGCAGGGGTGCTGTCCTAAACAGCATAATGATGAAGTTCCTTCATTACTTTTCATTCAAGATTTGTTTATACACAAGGTCTCTGAAATATACTGAACTACTAAAGCAAAAATTTTTAACTCCTAGTGGCAACATGCACATAAAAATAACTGAAAAGTAAAGCAACTGCTTTGACTGTTTTCAGCCTTTCGATCTTAACACAAAGCTCCAATTTAAAAGGCAATTTGTCAATTATGTGCTCAAATGCTTTTGCACATTTAAGTTTTTCATTTGATTTGCATTAGAGAATAAGAGTTTTTAGCTAAAACAATCTTTTCCTCATTTTATGTAAGTATACACAAATAAGAGCACATTTGAGATACAAAAAGTAATCCACGTAAGATTTATTAAATGTATATGAAGAGGAATGTAAACTTCATTCATTGATAATTAGCAATAAAGGATCCCATAGAGCAATAATTATTCAAATGAATGATACAGCCCTATTTAGCAAATATAAATATCTTACAAAATGGAAAAGGTCATACACAATGTAAAATGGTAACTTAATTGTCAAAAGTAATCACTAATTCAAGGCTGCCAAACAGGGCACCTTTAATACTTTTAAAATGATCCAAGTGAAAATAATTCACGTTGCCCACTGCTGATCAGGAGGTATTTCGTAAATTAAGTTCCACAAAGTTCAGTGGCATGGGTGTGGCTTCATGACAGCACTAACTGAAAACACAATGAAAATCTTTATTTAAAGAAAAATCAGACTCGGGTTTCCCCCAAAGTAAAAGACTTTATTATTCACTGATGCTGGCAAAACAAACACTTTGGACAAGCTTCTGATGAAACATACACTTTTTTATCACCACAAAAAAACCCACAAGGAATGTGGAATTTCCTGGCAATCCAGTGGTTAGGACCGGGCGCTTCCACTGCAGGGGGCCTCGGTTCAATCCCACCAGCCACTGAGCCAAAACATTAAAAAATTAAAAAAAAAAAAAACCACGAAGACAATGAAAACTGGAATGCAAATAACAGCAGATGACAACAGTGTTAACCAGCTCAGACAGATGAGAGAAAGCTGAAATTTAAGCCTGCTACAAGGGCAGGCAACAAAAACAAACCTAAGAAAAAATATCACAAATCTGAAACAAGAGTCAGATGCTAGTCCTTAAAAAGTGGGAGTAGAAAACAGTTAGAAAACAAAAACTCTTACAGCCAAAATTAAAATTCAATAGAAGAAAAACTGAGATAATCCTCCCCCCCAAAAAACTCCCAAAATGAACCGACTTAAATATTTGAGAAAAAGCTAAAAAAAAAAAAAAAAAATTAATACATCAGTCTAGGAGACCCAACACCCAACAAAGAAGTTTTAATCAGGAAAGGAAAGCAAATGAAGAGGGGAAAAAATTATAAAAGAAAATTTTAAACTTTTCTCCAAACTGAAGAATGAAGTTTCCACACTGAAAAACTCCATGGAATGAATGCTCAGTACACACACCCAAGAAAAAAAATAATAATCAGGCACATCATGGGGAGACTTTAAAATCTAGGTAAAAATAGAAAAGATATTATAAAGTTCCAGAAAGAGAAAAAAAAGTCACGCACAAATAACTGGGAAAGAGATGGCAGCTGACACAGCGGCAACACTGAAAGCTGGAAGTCAGCCTTCCATTTCAGGAGGAAGCCCGCTCCCCGTGCGGCCCACGTGCACGTCAACAGCTCTGCCTGAGCACACCCCCCGCACCGCACCCGCAGGGCCCCGTGACGCCTTCCGGCCAACCGACTTCCAGCTGCGAGGACACAGTCACTTCTGGGCGAGACAGCTCGTGCCAGCTCATCAGCTCTCTTCTGCACCTGCTGGGGCAACCCGGAGCCACCAGGCAACACGACGGGGGACTGCAGGAAGGCGCCAGGGGAGCCCCCGGCAGTGGACTTGGTGACAGCGAGCGAGAAGCACCACTTACACACGGAGGTTTCAGACTTTCATCTGCCATTGCCGCAAAACCTACCCTGTGCCGACTAACACAGCAACCCTGCACTTCTCCAGGCAAGAACACTGGAGTGGGTTGCTGTGCCCTCGTCCCGGGGGTCCTCCCGACCCAGAGACCCTGGTCTCCTGCACTGCAGGCAGATTCTTTACTGTCTGAGCGACCTGGGAAGCCTGAACACAGCCAGACAACAAATCAAATACTTAGAACACAGACAGTTTCTGACATGTAAGATCTCACACTCCATCACCTTTCTAGGAAGTTACGAGGAGGATGAGCTCCATCAAATCAAGGAAGTAAACCAAGAAACAGAAAACAGGGCACGTCACCTAGAGAGAGGAGAAAGCAGCCTCTAGGTTGACGGCTCCCGTTGCTCAGCCTGTCTTCGATACTGTCCTTGCACCTACAGCCCTGCCGAATGCCGCCCCAGAGTCAGCTCAACTGTGACATCCTCCTTGAAGACACACTCCACGTTCCCTGGCTACCAGAAGTAATACATCCTTCATCGATGGCCAGGGGAGCTGCATTCTGAAATCTGCCAGCGACGTGGTACGCGACTCAGGCACGTTACATAAGCACTCTTACCTGCCTCCTCATTGTCTGCATGAGGATAAAGTTATCAGAAGGTGCCCTCTAATTCGAGAAAGGCAGTAATTCTTCAAATGAACAAAAGCACTAAAATCCTAATATAATTCTTTGTTTGGTATACGTTTATACACTCTGACAGTCAGCGATACTTGGTAGTAATGTTATTCCCTAAATATATATACGTATATTTTTATGTTAAAAGCAATGTCAATAGACAGAAATGACTTTAATCAGAGGGGCGATACCTTCTTTAAAACCAAAACTCGGGTATAATAACAGACACTTTCATTATTATTATAAACATCAAAACAAAAGGGAAGTCACATGAAGTGACAAGTCTACCAGTAAAAATCCATCTTCCTTTTTTAAAAAGAGTATTCATTAACCCTGCTGCTCCCACCACCCAGCGTGTTACTGATGTGGCCAGAATACCACCCATCACACTAAGGACAACAGCAGGCAGCACCAAGTGACGATCTGCAGCACCTGCTGCATACATCTTTTCCAAACAGTTCGAAAGAGGAACATTAAACTGTCTTTGCAAGAACTGTTGTCTAAGAGCAGCTCTATATTCCACTGCCTTCTTGGGAGAGACACTTTACACACAAGCGTGAGCTGCCACTAAACCGCTCCAGACAGACAGACGTCTCTTCACATGGCCAGACTCACCTGGTGGCAGGCTTCAGGACGGCATGGTGACGCCGGCAGGGTTCTGACGCCGGACGGCTTCGGCTCCCAGGCCTGCAGAGCTGTGGTCTCGTCCTCTGTGTTCCTCGTTCTCTACTACGCGAGAGTCGGCTCCCCAGGACAATGGAATAGCCACCGCTCCCCAAACATAGTCTCCAAGTGTGATGTCCTTTTAATAATTTTAAGAAAAAATTTCAGTGGGATGGCTGTTAAGAGTGATAACACAACATTAAAACACATAATAGGAGAACAAGCGCCAGGGACCTTGCAGGTAGCCGTGTGAGTTATGTTCCACTCAAGATTTCCCACCAACCGACCACGATGACCCAGGGCCAGTTAGCCCACTGCTGCTCACACTGTCAAAGTGTCAGTCGCTCAGTCCTGTCTGACTCTTTGCAGACCCCATGGACTGTAGCCTCTGTCCATGGAATTCTCCAGGAAAGAATACTGGAGTGGTTGCCATTCCTGTTTCCATGGGATCTTCCCAACAAAGGGATCAAACCCAGGTCTCCTGCATTGCAGAAGGATTCTTCACCACCTGAGCACCTAGGGAAGCCCCACTGTAGCCATGTGTAATCCTCAAACTCTAGTAGCTGCACCAGCAGTACTTCTGTAGACTCCCATTCTCCTTCCTCTTTTATATCCACTCTTCTCATCTTCTTGGTTTCACACCCTTTTCCCCACAGAAGGCTTCCTCAGCAAGAAAAACCAAGTCTTATGCAGATACTGCAGGTTAATCAGAATACTTCTTTTAACTAATCATGGTATAAGTGAAGTGGAGTCGCTCAGTCATGTCCAACTCTTTGCGACCCCATGGCCTGTAGCCTACGAGGCTCTTCCGTCCACGGAATTTTCCAGGCAAGAGTACTGGAGTGGGATGACATTTCCTTCTCCAGGGGATCTTCCCGATCCAGGGATCGAACCTGGGTCTCCCACCTTGCAGGCAGACGCCTTACCATCTGAGCCAGCAGGGAAGCCACCCGTCATGGTATAGCTTAAACTAATTATTACTGTTGCGCGTGCTCAGTGGCTCAGTCGTGTCCGACTCTCTGATCCCATGGACTGAGCCCACCAGGCTCCTCCGTCCATGGGATTCTCCAGGCAAGAGTACTGGAGCGGGCTGCCATGCCCTCCTCCAGGGGGCCTGCCTGACCCAGGGATCAAACTCAGGTCTCCTGCATTGCTGGTGTTCACCAGCTGGCTCACCATCTGAGCCACCACGGAAGCCCCTTACATACATTATCTCACTTAATTTTTACACCAATGTGGAAGAAGACACATTATTATCATTGTACAAGAAGATAAATAAGATTTTTGTTTTATTTTAAAAATCATTGCCCCATAAAATCCAAGGGCTGAAATTCAGGCCTCAACCTGCAGCCCTATGAGAGCGCACCTTCACCAGGTATGCTTAGAGTCACCTAGGTCTCTGGCTGGTCTAATTCCAAATGAGTTTTTCCTTCCTGCTGCATCCTGAGGGTGCCAGAGGTTCCAGACAGCTTAAGTCTCACCCCACCAAGTTCTGTAAGGCAACTTCAAGGGGAACGTGCCCTGGGGCGGGTCTTCCCCTCGCACTCTAGGCAACTGTGATTCCAGACGAGACAAACCACCCAGCCGGGTGCGTGAGTGAATTCAGACAAACACCTCGGCCCGACAGGGAGGGGTGACTCTCCCCACGTGCGGCTACGTGGGCCATGGAGTTTCAGGAACTCAGGCCTCATTAGTGCTATGATTTATTCAGCTGAGCAGATCAGCGCAGCCAGGGGTGAAGAAGAGAAACAAAAAAACCAACAGGCGTCCACGATCCAGGCAGCACACCGCTGCCTTTACTGGTTGTGTGGACACCACGTGGAAACCACAAGAGCTTTCTGCACCCGCGTCCCCACAGAGGACAGGAAGCAGGAGAAGTGTGAGGCGGACAAAGGAGAAAGCCCACAGCCCAGGCCCTCCACAAGGAACTCAGTAAGGAACGTGAGATCAGAAACACACGCACTGATAAGTGGGATTCCTAAAGGAGCTGTGAGGAAGCAGAGCCAGGGAGGGCTTCCCTGAGACGGTGACCCTGGCGATACAATCCGAGGATGAACCAACCTCAGGAGGAGCCAGTGAAGAGCAGCCCGGGGCAAGGTGAGGACCGAGATGCAGCCCGGATTGCCGAGGGAGAGAAGGGCTGGACCACGAGCGCGAGAAGGCAGAGAGAGGCTCTACAAGACGAACCGAGAAGTCGGGCAGAAGTCTCACTTGTGACAATAGTAAACAGCTTGGATTTCACTTCACACAAAACATCTGCGCACCCACAGTAACTCTGTCAGATGGATTATTACCCCCATCTTAGCCCCAAATGAGGAATAAAACTCCAAGAGGATATATAGTGTGTTCAAGGTCACAAGCTAGTAATGTACACTTCCCCCCAAAGACTTAACACCTCCAAAATGTCGTCTGTATGCAAAGGGAGTGTGGAAATCTTCAATGACTTATCTATCTCCGACTATTCGTCTATTCTTCAAACATCAACAAGGCCAACAGTCACCCAACACAAACGTCACAACAAAGTAAATGTAAAGTCTGCATGAATCATCAAAGACGACCCCAACGACGGTGGTTTAAAGGGAAATGTGCCCTTAGTCCAAACATCTTCCCTACTTAACAGACAAAGCAACATGTTATGCAGCATAATAAATTAACCATAAAAACACTAATGACAATTTCACTCTCAGTACACTTTAGAACACGTCCCACTGTTGTTTCTCTTTTACTACCTGGATAACTCTTTTTTTTTTTGGATAACTCTTTCAATCAGGCTAGTCATACAAGAAAGTTTCCCCTTAGCATGATACATTAATAATATAAATGTCTCTCTTGCAAAATGACTTTCATAGTTTTATGAAAGTACCCGGACACCACAGATGTGCCACGTCCACAAATGGAAAAGGTTAGGAATGAGGACGGAGAACTGAAATAGACAATCTTCATTTCCCATAAAAGATGCAACAAGCAGAAAACCGCAAAAGGTGATCTTTTTACCTCTAGGTCATTTACCTACCTGCCCTTTTTAAGTATTAAAATAGATGCATACACATCCATTAGTTATACCAGATTATAAATAACATGGGAAATCTGACCTCATGTGTGTTGTGTTAGTTGCTCAGCTGTGTCCAGCTCTTTGCAACTCCATGGATTACAGCCCGCCAGGCTCCTCTGTCCATGGGATTCTGCAGTCAAGGATACTGGAGTGGGCAGACATTCCCTTCTCCAGGGAATCTTCCCAACCCAGGGATTAAACCTAGGTCTCCCGCCTTGTGGGCAGATTCTTTACCAGCTGATCCACCAGGGAGGCCTCATACTTCAACATATTTGTTGAATACCTGACTTCATACTTCAACATATTTGTGTGTATCTTGTGTGCGTGCATGACCCATTTTGCATGACTGCATATTTATGAGCGAATAATAACAGTAACTGCCACAAACTCAGAAATGATCCTCACAGTTTCCTTGTTTCTGGAGTACTCTATTAGTTGCTCAGTTGTGCCAGACTCTGCGATCCCATGGACTGTAGCCCACCAGGCTCCTCTGTCCATGGGATTTCCCAGGCAAGAACACGGGAGTGGGCTGCCATTTCCTTCTCCAGGGGATCTTCCCGACCCAGGGATCAAACCTGGGTCTCCCGCATCGCAGGCGGAGTCTTTACCACCTGAGCCGCCAGGGACTTGGAGTATTGTATGTTATAACTCTGAAATAAGATCACACGATTACTTCCATGAGCCAAATAAAAGAAAACACTAGTAAAAAAACAGCTTCTTGGAAACTGATCACACTGAAGAAAACTACCCAAGTTTTCTCTAAAGAGTGACGGTTACCTAACAAGACAGGCTTAAGAAGATGCTTGCTTCTGCTCCCTAAAAAGAGGGCCCTTAAAAGGAGCCTGAGATGATTAGGAATCCAGTCAGCACTGCTGAGTTTTCCTCCCAGGGCACTGCCCAGCCCAGGCTGGCTGTAGCCCAGGTCAATGGCACCCCAACCCCTGCCTGGCCACTCCTCTACAAGGTGCTACAGGGGAGGGTGTCAGGTGACACCCAAGGGTGTGCCCCTGGGTCCTCCGAGGCCATGTCTGAGGCCTGCCCATCTTCCCACTAAGAGAAGGGAAAGGAGCAGGGCCAGGCACTTCCCACCAATTCAGGAGGTGTTTAAAGATCGTAAGGGGGAAAAGTGCTTCAAAAGAGATGCTGAAGGGAGGCCCCAAAAAGGTAAAGGTTCCAGTGATTAAGGTGGGGGATCCTATCCAGATCAGTAGAAAGTACTTGCCAGGTCACAGGTGAGCTCTTCTAAGAATCCTCGTTAAGTCCAAGGTCAGTCTGACAGCTTCCCCAAAGGCAACAAGAAACCATGAGGGACACTGTGGGAACCAAAGGGTTGGTCACATATTCTGCTTGGAGCAGGCGTGGCCTCTGAAACTTAACCATATCCATGCTACCTGATGCAGAAATACTGAGAAATAAGACAGCACCGGAAGCAGATCACAGGCTGTTTCCAGGTTTTCTCTGTGAAACTTGATAAACAGCGCCATTCATGTTTTTAAATAAAACATTCCCCACAGCACTACATATTCCACTGAACATTCATTCATTCAACTAAGCTAAGTAGATTTCATGTTGTGATATTTGTTGCGATAATCAGAAAAAAAAAAAAAAATAAAGATCACTGCACATCTACCGCGACTGGGCACACCTCGGACGTTTCATCTTAAAGAAGAGGGCAGTTTACTTTTGTTTGATGACAGACATGTGTGTGGCCAAGGACCGCCGTCCATGAAGAACGTATTTGGGCAACGTTTTGTGTCTCATTCACATCGTAACTATGATTACTACGTTCTCCATCCTCATCCACAGGAAAAGTGGCAGGTCGCCTTTTCCAGGGCAGACGTTTCAAGAAAACATTCGTGGAACTGAACCCAGCATTATTATATTTCACTACCGAAAGCCTGAGGTCTGCCCCCATATTCCCACCTGGCCCTGAGTTCCAAAAAGTGGGGCTGGGAACCCCGAATTCCACACGCCGACTAAACGTGAAGTTGGCCTGCAGACGACCGCACACGTTCCAAGTTCTGGGCCGGGACCTGCCCCAGGAGAAATGTCAATAGATGCGACCCAGAAGGGAGGCACCAAGGTGTCCCCAAGCGAACCGAACGCCGCGGCCCGGCCCGGCCCCAGGGGCGGGCTCACGTCCCCCAGTCCCCACGGCCACGAGGGTCTGACAGCGCGTCCCCGCGCGGAGCCCACCGGGGTCCCGGCCCCGCCGCGGCCCGGGCCTCCCGTGCGCGCCCGCCGGCCGNNNGCACCCGCCCTCCGGCGCCCCCGGCCCCTGCGCGCCTGCCCGCCCGCCGCCGCCTTTGCAGCCTCGCCTCCGCGGCGGCCGGGCAGACGCGGGAAGGACCATGTCCTCGGCCCTCGGGCGCCGGCCCCGGCCTCGTGCCCTGAGGTCGGGGTCCGCTCACCTGGCGCGGTGGCCGGGACCACCCGGCCTCCGCGGGCAGCGGGACGGAGTGGCGGAGCGCGCGCGCCCGAGCCGGGCCCTTCCCACACCTTTCTCTAGCTTAACCGTGAGATGTGCTGATTAAAAGAAAAACTTACTCCTTGTTTCAGCCCATCTGCTTTTCCCTTTAGTCCTTGTTAGTGGGGTTTTTTTTTTATGCATGGTTTTTTTTTTTTTTAAATGCAGGAATAGTTTATTGTTTGTGCCGCCGAGTTCCAAGGCAGTGTGATGTCAAGTTGAGTGTTGGTAACTTGACTTACTTTTTGGAAACCAAACCCCCTTGATTCTTTGCTACCTGAATATAGAATTAACAGCAAATTGGACTTTTGTCAACGAGAAGCTACAGAAACATTTTTTTATTTCTCTTTTCATCCGAAGAAAAGTGGTTAAAGATAAGTATCATTAAAATCTAACTTGAGAATTAGTGTTGGCTTTGAAAGTTGTATTTCTTGAATAGCATGGAGCCTTTAAAAAGGAAACAAGGCTAGGGGAGAAAAGTCTTCAAGTTTTTCCAAAGTGAATGTATATCTGAGTTATACCTCAGTAAAGCTGTTAGTTTTTTAAAAGTTCAAGTAATTGATCTTAATTCTTATGAATGTTGGATATATAATTCTAAACACCAAGTCTAGATTAATAATTTAAAAATTGCATTGTCAGGTGATTCAGCTGGTTTGTATGACTGAATAGTATATATATAAGGCTGATGTCATCTGTTACCTGTGATTCACCAGACCTTTATCATCTTTAGTTCTTATTTGAATTTGTTATTAAACTCCTACAGGATCTTCCCTGGTGGTCCACTGGTTAAGACTCCCTGCTTCCATTGCAATAAGTGCAGATACCATCCCTGATCTGCGAACTAATAGCCCGCATGCCTGGAGGGAGGCGGAAAAATAAGTAAAAATAAACTCCTATTATTAATCTGATTTAAATGCAACTCTGTTCTCAAATATCCAATCACAGTGAATGTTGACTGAAATAGACCTGTCAGAGTAGTGAAAATAGTAAGTAGTAATTAGAGATGAAACAAGACAGAGGTTGAGATGGTTGGATGGCATCACTGACTCAATGGACATGAGTTTGCACAAACCCTGAGAGAGAATGAAGGACAGGAAGCCTGGCGTGCTGCAGTCCGTGGGGTCGCAAAGACTCAGACAGGACTAAGCCACTGAGCAACAACAACAGAGATGAAACAAACTTTTCAACCACCCCTCTTGTGGTTCAGAAGCCCGTTCAGAAGGAGAAGGCGCGGGACAGGCTGGAAATTGGACTGGTGTTTCCAGTCCGAAGAAGGCCAGCAGTTGGAGGCCAGGGAGCAGGGCCAATAAGCACAAAGCTAGCAGTGGGCTGGCTGCTCCTCCAGGAGACAGGATCAAGACCCTGGCTTCTGAGTCTGGCAGAGCTGGTGTGGAGCTCAGCCTTGACGATTCCTGCAGATGTGTGAGCTCAACCAAGCTTCTCAGTTGTCACCTCAATTTCTTACAAGAAGAGGGGTGAGAATGGCGGGGGCATTTTTTATATTTTTGTATTAACTCCGTTAAATCAGTTCATTTCCGAGTCTTTGAGACCCCACGGACTGTAGCCCAGGCTCCTCTGTCCATGGGAGTCTCCAGGCGAGAGTGTTGGAGTGGGTTGCCATTTCCTCCTCCAGGGGATCTTCTTGACTCATATTAAACAGTTGTGGCGATTGCTTGAGATAGTGCTCAAAAATGTTTAACTCAGTACCTGATCCATAATGATTGCTATTACTAAGTAATGTGTATTTTACAAGCAAAGTATGCAAATATTTGGGGGCATATATTATCTACTTTATTTTAACAATCAATTTGTAAGATCTGTATTATCATCATCCTCACATTACAGGTGAGAAAACTGTGCCTTCTTGGTTATAAGTAGTAAGTAACTTTTCCAAGTCACACCCTGCTAGGAGGCAGAGTTGGAATCCAGACTTAGGTCTTTCTGACTCCAAAATATGAGCTTTTAATCACTAAAATAAAATAACAGTGGTAACAGCATGAATAATACAACAATAACTTTAGGGTAGAGATACCCCGGTGGATAAATACACTAAAGTCTCCATGCTAATCTAAAAAAATGGTACTGGTGAACCTATTTGCAGGGCAGGAATAGAGATGCAGACGTGGAGAACCGACATGAGGACGCCGTAGGGGAAGGAGAAGGTAGGACCAGTTGAGAGAATAGTACTGACATATATTAAATAGATAGCTGATGGCAAGCTGTTGTGTCACACAGGGAGTTCAGCTTGGTGCTTTGTGATGACCGAGAGAGGTGGGATGGAAGGGGGTGGGAGGGAGGCCCAAGAGAGGGGATATATGTAAACATATAGCTGATTCATTTCATTGTATAGCAGATACTAACACAATATTGTACAGCAATTATCCTCCAATAAAAAAATTAAAAAATAGAAATAGTTCTGTAGATAAGAAATAACACACTAATTACTAAAAAAAATTTTTTTTAATAAAGTCTCCATGTTTGGCTGAATTCCAACATTTTGGCTTTAGTCAGCACTGTCTGATAGATGTGCTCAGTCATGTCCAACTCTTTGAGACCCCATGGACTGCCATGGGGTTTTTCAGGCTAAAATACTGTAGTG